CACCTCTGTATAGGGCATTGGTCAGACCAATACTGGAATACTGGGTGTAGTTTTAAATTTTGTTTTAAATGGGCCCAGTTGACTAACCAATCCAGATTGCTCTGACCTCATTAATTACTACTCTGGCAATATGTTTCATCGATAAATGTTATCAGTAGTGATTTTATACGTATTGCCAAAACATGAATAAAAATGTTGAATAGCATTGGGGCTAGTACCTAGCATTGCCCATCTATTTTACATGAAAGATCCCCAGATACCCAACATGATGAGCTGCAGGGATGGGCGATAGGGGATGGATCACTTGATGATTATCTATTCTGTTCATTCCCTCTGAAGCACCTGGCCCCGGCCACTATCGGAAGACAGGATACTCAGCTAGATGGACCTCTGGTCTGACCCAGTGTGGCCGTTCTTATGTTCAGTGTAAAACCCCAAGATAGAAAGTGGGACTTTCTGAGTGTTGAGTGAATCACTTCTTTAACCAGCATGACAATCAGCTCTTCTGGACCCGGGCTATCTTTTAATATATGTTTGTACAGAAACTAGCATAACTGGGGTATTGTGTGTGCCTCTGCTCTATAAATAATAATAATCTGGGCAGGATACTCATGTTTTGCTTCTTTATGTTTTGTTTCTTCAGAGCATTGTGACCTTAGAAAATGGGTCATTAAATCAGGTCCAGAATTGGGATGGCAAAGAGACCACAATAAAGAGACAAGTGGTAGATGGGAAAATGGTGGTGGTGAGTGAATTCATTCTAGTTATCTGATCACTGAGTAATGCAAAGATGTAGAGATCATCTAAACAGTTATAGTTTTATTATACATTCCATTTTCTCTTTAAATAAATGTGGCTTATATTAGAAATGTGATTGGTTGCATAGGGCAGGAAGAGAACATTAGAAAATAGGTTGAATCAAGTTAATATTATAGAATATGGGAGAAGAGGAAAGATGGCCTGGTGGTTAGCATAGAATCCAGAAGACATGTGTTCAAGTCCCTACTCCACCACACATTTCCTCTATAACTTTGGGCAAGTTACTTAGACTTAGACCCAGACCCTCAAAGGTATTTAGGTACCCAACTCCTGTTGATTTCAATGAGATTTAGGAACCTAAATACTTTTAAGGATGTGGGCCTTAGACTCTCTGTGCTTCAGTTCCCTCAACTGTAAAGTGGGGATAAAAGTACTTCCATATCTTAGAGGGGTGTTGTGAGGATAAATTCATTTAAGATTGTGAGGTGTTCAGATACTGTGGTTATGGGGGCCATATAAGTAAGACAGAAATGAAGAAGCTCAAAAGATGGCTGAATTCATATTAATATTAGTCTTTAACACAGGAATTGGCAACCTTTGGCAAGCACCCTGGCGGGCCGGGCCGGTTTGTTTACCTGCCGCATCCGCAGGTTCAGCTGATCGCGGCTCCCACTGGCCGTGGTTCACCGTCCCTGGCTAATGGGGGCTGCTGGAAGTGGTGCAGGCCGAGGGATGTGCTGGCTGTCGCTTCCCGCCGCCCCCATTGGCCTGGAGCGGTGATCCGCGGCCAGTGGGAGCCGCGATCGGCCGAGCCTGCGGACGCGGCAGGTAAACAAACCGGCCCGGCCCGCCAGGGGGCTTACCTGGGTAGGCTGCATGCCAAAGGTTGTTGATCCCTGCTTTAACATATATTTTGATTTTTTTGTAAGTTGGAAGAAAATGTGAAAAGGGGAAATACTAATACCAATAGCCTTATAATATACTTCAGTGCACATTTTTCTTTGCACAAACAAAATGGGTGAGAGGATTTTTCTTCTCCCTCTTTGTATTTAAAGTGGGATTGTCTTTACAGTTTTGCTGTGAGAAAGTACAACTGTTTCGGTGAACTCCTCTTTTGTCTTCTAGGAATGCACCATGAATGACATCACCTGCACTAGGATCTATGAGAAAGCCTGAAGAAACTCTGTTAGTACCCTGCTTGACTAAAAATTGGAGAATTAGAAACTTAACTGTTGTAGGTATTTAATAAAAAGCTTACACATGCAGTAAATACGTATTGCCTATATACTGGCATCTATAGGCTATTGAGTGGTTGGGTTTTCTTAAAAAAGGTTGACAGTTCCTGATGTTAAATTTGCCTCACTAGAAGAATCTGCCCCATGACACCATTGATCCTAACAGCATTATGTACTTGCCACCAGCCACTTTTTTAAAAAATTCCATTTTGAAAAGAATTGTATGTGAGCCCTGAAAAAGTTTTCTATTTATTGGGTAATGCACACTCATTTCAGTGTTTATAGAAGATTCACAGTACCTTAGACACTGCCATTACAACTGGACCAGCTGAGGGAACAACATAAGAACGGCCATACTGGGTCAGACCAATAGTCCATCTAGCCCAATAGCCTGTCTTCCGACAGAGGCCGGGGCCAGATGCTTCAGGTGAAATGAACAGAACAGGGCAATTTATCCAGTGATCCATCCCCTGTCATTCAGTCCCAGTTTCTGGCAGTCGGCGGTTTAGGGACACCCAGAGTATGTGGTTACATCCCTGACCATCTTGGCTAATAGATGAACTTATCTAATTCTTTTTTGAACCCAGCTATACTTTTTGGCCTTCATAACATCCCCTGGCAGCGAGTTCCACATGTTGACTGAACATTGTGTGAAGAAGTACTTCCTTATGTTTGTTTTAAATCTCCTGCCTATTAATTTCAATGGGTGATCTCTGGTTCTTATGTTATGTGAAGGGGTAAATAACATTTCCTTATTACCTTTCTCCACACGATTCCTGATTTTATAGACCTCTGTCAGAACCCCCTCTTAGTCATCTCTTTTCTAAGCTGAACAGTCACACTCTTTTTAATTTCTCCTCCTATGGAACCTGTTCCATACCCCTAATATTTTTTTTGCCTTTCTCTGCACTTTTTCCATTTCTAATGTCTTTTTTAAGATGGGGATACCAGAACTGCATACAGTATTCAAGATGTGGGCGTACCATGGATATATGTACTGTCATTGTGATATTTTCTGTCTTATCTCCACCTCTTCTAATGGTTCCTAACATTCTATTACCTTTTTTGACTGCTGCTGCACATTGAGCGTATGTTTTTAAAGAACTATTTACAATGACTGCAAGATCTCTTTCTTGAGCAGTAACAGCTAATTTAGAGCTCATTTTGTATGTATAGTTGGGATTATGTTTTCTAATGTGCATTACTTTGCATTTATCAACACTGAATTTCATCAGCAATTTTGTTGCCCAGTCACCCAGTTTTGTGAGATCCCTTTGTAACTCTTTGCAGACAGCTTTGGACTTAACTATCTTGAGTAATTTTGTATGGTGTTCACTTGTGGCTCTGATAACTCTTTTCTTTGCTATAGTTTCAAGCAATTTACCCACTACTGAAGTTAGGCTTACTGGCCTGTAATTGTCAGGATCACCTCTGGAGCCTTTTTTAAAAATCTGCATTACATTAGCTATCTGCCAGTCATCTGGTACAGAAGCTGATTTAAGTGATAGGTTATATACCACGGCTAGTAGTTCCGCAGTTTCATATTTGAGTTTGTAGAACTGGTGACTGCTGCCTCCCGTGTTGTGTCGACACTCAAGGCAAAGCTGGAGTACCTCTCCAGGGCGCAAGGCAGGGCAGATGATATGGAGGCCCTGAGTTGCCCATGAACCAGGACCCCCCCTCTCGGCATCACCAGTAAAATCCAGAGGAGAGGAAAAACCAATATGTCTGGTACCTGATCCGCTGCAAGAGTTGCTAGAAAGATACTAAAATATTAGTACCTGACCGCCTTCGGTACTCCACTCCAGATTTTCTGTCTGAGTTTACTCTCATAGAGTTACATTCTCCTGAATTCACCCACAAGGCAGTGGGGCTTTTCTGTAATAGTTTGCTCCCTTAGCCTTACACCCTGCTGGGCTACCCAGAAGGCAGTGGGTTTGGTGAGCCGCAGGTAGTAATGTCTACTGTCATTACGGTAGCAGGCATAGCCTGACCTGAGTAGGGTTACCATATTTCAGGTTCCCAAAAAGAGACACTGCCAGAGAAGGGGAGGCGGGGAAGGAGCATTTGGGGAGTGGTGGAAGAGTGTGTGTGTGTGTGTACTGTGAGGAAATATTTGAGGGGTGCTGGAGGGGTGAGTATACTGGGAGGGGGTATTTGGGGATGCTAGAGGTGCATGTGAACTGGGAGGGGTATTCAGGGAGTTCTGTGGGGGTACTGGAGGGGTGTGTTTGTACTAGGATAGAGTTTTGGAGGGTCCTGGTAGGGTGTGTGTGTGTACTGGGAGAGACACCTGGAAGCTGTTGGAGGGGGTACCTGCAGCCTCACTCTCAAGGTGGGGGCCAGTGTCACTCCCTGTGACAGCAGCACGGTGGCTGGTGCAGGCTCCAGATGCAGCATCAGCCACCGCCTCCCTGCAGGCCCCCTCCCCACAGCTGGGAGCTGGGGCAAGGTCTGGCAGCTGGAGGGAAGGGGCCAATTGGGGCATGAAGACAGCTCTTTCTGAGCTGCAACATTGGGTCACAAAAATCCCAGCCATTGCATCTTATTTGCAAAATCCATCCAGAGGATCAAAACTGAGGTCATGTCTGGGGAAACCTGGACATGTGGTCACCCTATATTTGAGTTCCGTAGAACTCTTGTGTGATTGCCATCTGGTCCTGGTGACTTCTTATTGATTAATGTATCAATCTGTTCCAAAAGCTCCTCTGCCAACATCTCAATCTGGGGCAATTCCTCAGATTTGTCACCTAAAAAGAATGGTTCAAGTGTGGAAATCTCCCTCCCAGGATTTGACTTCCAATTTTAAGTAGTCATTTTGTCTTTTAATCTACTAAGAAGAGAGATTTTTAATGGAGGGTAGGTAGCCTTATAGCAACACCCAGCCATTGCTCTGTAATAGTCTACAGTTCAATTAGTAAGAATTTTAATAGGTTACTACAGACCTTTATGAATCCTCTACTAAAATCAGTTTTTTTTCCATTACACTTAAAGATAGTTTTGTAAAAAGACGCAACGGAGCATATTTAAATTATTGAGAACAACCACTGCTTGCAAGACCCAAACCTACTGATGTTTTGGTCATTCCTTTTTCACCATGGGTGTGTCTACACTGCAATTAAACATCCACAGCTGGCCCATGTGAGCTGATGCAGGCTCAGGCTACCGGGCTGTTTAATTGCAGTGTAGACATTTAGGTTTGGGCTGGTGGGTGGGCTCTAGGATCCCATGATGAAGGATCCCCAGTCTAGGATGCACTGTGGGCAGCTGGTATCACAGGCCAGGAGAGGCTGAGCCTCCCTAAACAGCCGGGCATGGCCCCACCCACACTCTGCCCCAAGCCCCCTCCCCCCCTGCTTCCTGTTCTCCCCCCCGTGACCCCAACCCAGGCTGCTCCTCTTCCCTGAAGCGGGCTGGGACCCAAGAGACCTGGGGCCAGCGCTTGGGCCACGGCCTCAGGCTACCCTCTCCAAACAGGCAGTTCATGTGCTACCTATCAGGCTGACCATCTACACCACAGCAGCCCCATAGCCTCAGCCCCATGTCAGTTGACAGAAGCACTTAAATGCACTTCAGCCTACTTGGCTTGTTTACACAGTTCACTATTAAGTACAGTAGGGCTAGGATGTTTGGCTTGCTTAAAATATTAGATACTAACTAGATCCCTCATGTATTCTAACCCCCTCTTGAAGTCTGTGGGCACAGCAGTCTGCCCCTCTCCCCATAAAAATCATAGAAACAAGAGATTTGCTAATTGTTGAAAGATGCACTCTTTTTCCTCATGGTCTAGAATTATACTGAGTTAATGGATAAGCAGAACTGAGAGACTGAGCTAGTGGTGATCTCAACTAGCAATTAAATAAAATTCATAGACTCAGAGTTAAGGCCAGAAGGAAACATCTAATCATTTGACCTATAATACCACCCCCACTCTAACCCCAATTAGACAAAAAGTATTATAGCCCACAGCAGTCTAAAGATCTGTTTAGAGCAGCATTTTTCAGAGTGGGAGGTCAAGGTGGACAGTTATGATACAATGACAAATATTTCCAAAAACCCAGCAGCTTCTAGGATCTCAGAAACATAAAGCGCTGTTCACTCCTTTTGTGTTTATACTTTGGCCTTTCCCTCCTGACTACACTGCTACAGGGTAACACAGCTTAAGAGGAGGGGAGGAACCAGGTGCTGTGACCTCTTGGCTCCCTACCACTGAATGCACTCAATTGCCTCCTCACCATCTTTATTCTTTGATTTAAAGAAAGTTCCATTTCATCGATGCCTTGGGGATAAGAAATAGGCCTTACGTGATGTGTAGAAGGTGGACTCTGCCAAAAACTAGAGAATTGAAGAGATGATTCAAGCTTGCTTTGACGAAGAGGCCTTCACAGAGAAAGGACCCACTCCAAAGCCCTCATGTAAAGGTGGAGAAGCTCCAGTTTAGTGCATCTACTGACCACAGGTGTGACAGCTTAGTCTAAAGAGCTAGTTCTTTATCTAATGAACTATATTCCAAACCATTCTGGGACTGGATAAGTTGGAGCCCAGTAGTAGGAGAGAAGGTAGAAATCTAGTCTCTCCTCCCAAAAACCAACCACCTGTTTTTTGTAGCGACACTGATCTCACCTCAGAGGACTGGGAACATAAGAAACCACAGCTGTTTTTGGAAGTCCTCATTGGAGAAAGTTTGAAGACTTCCTGGGTTAGAGCTCCAGTACTGAATACAGCTTCAGTTTTCAGAAGGAGATCTTATATCCCCACACTCTAAATACATAAGACTAGCACACCTCAATTAAGGCAGAAATAAAAAATTCAAAGTCTCTTTTATAGATAGCCCACAGAAGGGACAATCTAGCTTTCCAGTAGATCCCCTATGAAGTGATTGACTTCATAACAGACCAGGACTAGTATGAAACTTGGAAGTTAACTCACCCCAGCCACTCCTGTTGACAGACTAAGTCCTTTCAGCATTTAATTTTTATGTAGAATGGTATTACTGTATCTGTTACACCTCCAAGGAAATAACCACATTGTTTATAATTTAAGTGCAGATTGGCTGTGCACAAAAATGAGCATGCATATGTAGAATTATATTAACCGCATTGTAATCTACAACACATTAACATTTGGTCAGAGACATTAATTATTTTGGAAGATTTTATTGAGCAACCACATTAACATTTCTGGTTACATTAGTGTTTGGAATTAGGATTCTGCACCCATTAGGCCTTTTCTTCAGGAAACAAAACTAAGAAGCAGGAGAAGTGTAGTAGTTTCCTTGACCTAAACTCATTCTCAGACCAAGTTAGATGCACTCCTGGACATGGAGTTTACTCATGCTCTCTCATAGACTCTAGTGCAAGTGATATTGTTCATGGTGTATTCCTGTAAGAAAAAGGAGTTTATTGAAACTCATGAACTATCAGTGAGATTCAGACTGCTGTTGAAATAAGAGCCAATCTTTTCTGCCCCCTCAGAACTATAGTAATAGTATTTTAGTAATTCCCTAGATACATATTAGGGTTCTTTGCCTTTTTCTTCAATTTAAGCAGAAGAGGGAAGGACAGTTTGTCCATTATTGCAATAAGACAATGGAGCTCATCACTTCATCTCAGCCTTGACCATCCCAAGAGTGTGTCATGTTTAGGTAGTTCTCATTTGCTTCCATTTTGTTTATCTTACCCCACTTCCATTGGAGCATAGGTGCATTTTGACTATGCAATTCAAACAGGGTTTTTCTGGTTACAGCAGCAGTTTGGACAGTGCTGCCACCCATTCACCAGCTAATTCTTCCACACATGGGACTGAGCTTTGCTTCCCACCCCAAGCTGGTATAGAGATTTGAGGCAGGTGGGGAATAGTTCCACACTAAATCATAGTCTAGGCAGTCAGAAGGAATGCAATTAAGTGGCTTTTTAGAAAGCCCTGGGTTTGCTTGAGTCAGCCCTGATGCAATCCCATTAAGATATAGTTAATACCACTAGCCAGTAGTCAAGTGATTTCACTCACCACAATCATCTTCCCATCTGCTAGTTTTCTCTTTATTGTGGTCTCTTTACCATCCCACTTCTGCACCTGAGTTAGTGAGCCTTCTTCCAAGGTGACAATGCTCTGCAAAGAGAGTAATTGACCAGAATCTGAGAGTTGAGGGGTGGGGGAGAACAGTCTGAAGTTTAGAACTAGAGAAATCCTCCAGATGTTTCCAACTCAGTTATTTGTGTTTATGTTAATGCAAGAACATATGCTAGCAAAGTTGACTGCTCCCATTCTTGTTGTCCAACAGCAGGCACTGATGGTTAAAAATGAGTTTAAGAGATTTTAATGATATTTAACCCAGAACCAAGTTTCACATTCCCTGAACCCTTTGTTTAAATAGGGAACTTTCTCCCTTCAGTTTGTTTCTCCTCAATGGAGTAATGGGAATGAAGAATGAATGCTGCTTTAGTACTCACCTTGGTTTTCCTGTCATCTGCTGTGGTTTCCTCAAACTCCTCCCCCAACTTGAAGGAGACCTCAGTACTTTTGAAAGTACTCTTTGTTTCGATGGTTATCACATCACCATCCCTGCTGATGGTCACGGTGGGTTTGGCCAGGCTGCCCAGTGTCCTGGTGGCTAAACCCACACCTGCAGAGGCACAAGACACTTACGTTCACCATCAGGAACCAAGACATTTCTTTAAAGTGTCTATCCTCTCTGTGTGGGACATTCCAAACACGTTGGGAGTTCAGGCTCAATGCCTCATCTGATCTGAATGTTTCTAGCCACCTGACAACCAGGCTACTTAGACCTCTTATTTATACAGCTGACAGGCCTGTAAAAAGACACACACACACCGCATTGTTCCATCAGCAGCGGACAAACTCTGTCCCACATGGAATCTAGAAAGAGCTGGTGTAGGGAGGTCAGCTTTATGAGCTTTGCATTTTCAGTTTAAAGGTACATTCTGCTGCTACAGTTCTCTCAGCAAAGCAGTAATCACAGGGTAGAAGTCTTTAACCCAATCAGTGAACCCCAAAGCTATGCAGGTTTTAGATTGGAACCCTAAAAGAGGGTAAACTATAGCTCAGCTGTTACCCATCTACTGCTTCCCCTAAGCACTACACTCTGGTGCCCAGAATAATAAGTTATTGGTGATATTGCTGTCTCTGATACCAACATCCACATTTTGGTCTCTTACAACAGAGAATTTGAGACAATGCCATTGACTCCTTCCGGATGTACACCAGCATAGATCAAAACAAGATTTAGCCTTCAGTTTTTTAGCTTCCATTGCTTTATAGTGGTAGATGCTAGGAGCCAGAGCCTGCCCTTTTATGTCCCCATTATCAAGACAGAAAGTGGTCATCCAATATTAAATAAGACTTTCTCTACACATACTACTGAACAAGCAAATTACACCTACAGTGTTATAGCAGCAGCTTCTTCCCTTTCAATCCTAATCCCCTGCCTAAGAAGATGCAAGGTCAGAATCTTATAAAAATCTAGGAAGACACCGTAGGTATTTCTAGTTAACTGAAGCAACATTTCTTTTTTTAAAAGGAATTTAAACTTTGATACAGCCTCATTTTTTTCCTTATTGAGTACTAGGGAACTACATGAGCAAGAGTCCCTAAGAACAATGAAAGAAATCCCAAAACAGAGTATGTGGCTAGTTACACTTCCCTTGCTGAACAATGGGACATCCCCAAATATCACAGTATCATTTTTCTCACCCAGTTCTTTCATATAGTCCTCAAATTTTTCACTGGAGACAAACTTCCAGATTCCCACAAACAGGTCACACATTCTGTAGGGCTTGTTAAGCAACACGCCACAGGGAAAAGTCAGCAACTCTCAGTGAGAGGGAGCAAAAGAAAATGGAGAAACTACCTTAGACAGCTTCTTTATAAAGATGGCCTGAACATGTGATTATCTGGGGCTGACCAATGGGAACTGAAGTGTTTTTGGAGAATCCATTCCAGGACCAGATTACATCAGAGGCTCCATTTCTTTTAGCGCAAAACCCCAATCAAAAGTGGTAGCAACACCTTAAAGTTGAATGAATTATCCTAACAGGATCCTGACATTTTGATAACATCTTAAAGTCCAAACACACCATGTTTCATAGCTTCAAAAAAAATTTCCCCAACAGAAGAACTTCTGACCTGCTTTGCTAAATGAGAGCAGCAGTAGTTTTAAAGGAACACCAGAATTAACAAAGAAGGCTACAGTACACCAATAACAATAACAGCAAAATGGGTGTTAGCGGGTCTTTCCCGTATCAACATAACAACAAAAGAAAATGGGTATTTGAAAAAATAACAGAATATTAATTTTAAAACTACATTGTGTCTGAGATTATTTTACCTACTACAGAGACAATTACTCCTAAGATTCTTATAAATGAAAGAGGTTAAACTAATATTTTATCTGTTTATTGTTTGATTGCTTTGTTCATTGGACAACACTTTATGCATAGTCAGTTCCATTTGTTGTTTGTGTGCATCTCTCACAGAGCACCAGGGGAGAACAAGACATTTAAAAAACTAGGGACATGTGGCTTTAAAAGTACAAATGTGGCTGGGTGACCTGGGAATACATTGTAGCTGTGACAACATTTAATTTATTGTCAGGTAGACATTGTCCTTCCAACAGGTGACAAAGTCTACAGCAGGAGGCATATAAGGCAAGGCAGAGCAATGGGATCAGACAAACCCCTTGACTGCTTCAAATGAATACTGCGGTCCCAGGGTGTCCAAAAAGAATACAGGTATTGATGTCTTTGGGACTGGAGACGGGGACCATAAAGATGCTGCTGCTCTTGCGGCCATATTAATGGAGCTAGTGACTTCAGAGTTCTGCCCCCAAAAGGCCCTATGGAGGAGGCAGATAGTACTTGGGGCTGAATTATGGTGTTTACTTCTGAGACCTGGAGCAACATCACTGGCAAAACTCCCACTGATTCAATGGGGCCAGGATTTCATGCTTGGTGTCAATGGGCTGCCTGCATTTCTGGCCCTGGTGGAGGGAGGTAGTGGGGCATGAAGATTTTTGATTCTACTGTATTTTAAAAACAGTTTTCATTTTTATGGGTGTCTTAGTGCAGGATTGATGGCTGTACCAGCAATATACACATGAGGAATGGAAGATGAGATGCTGCAAAATGTAAAAGGAGTAAGCAGTGGGATTTGGCACACACCTTGCTAGATCTGTACTTTCTTTCCTTATCTCTAAATCTTTTTTCTTTTAAAAAAATTCTATCACCAGTTTTGTGATCACTTTTCCAAGAAATGGAGTGATCTTTGCAGTTGCAGATGGACAATTTTTCAAATCACATCTAGGTGTCGTATGTCTCATGGCCACTCCTCTGCAGATTCACACATGGGGAGATTCTTGCTGTGTCATCTCCTGGTAAAATCCAGCATCAGGGTGAGCTGAGATAACACACTATTGGTTGCTTTTGGTGTTGGAAGCACCTTTCCTGCCTTGTACAAAAGGCAGAAAAATCATAAGAGGAAAAGGCGAGGGAGGCCACTTGCTGTCAAACAGCTACTAGATGAGTGTGTATTTTTTAAAAAACAAAATAAAGCATGAATGTGTTAGGGTGGAAGTAGAATCCAAGTGGTGGACTATAAAGGGAACAAAGGAAACTGGAGAAGCAGGGAACTGAAGCCTAGAGTTTGTGTTCTGCATTACCTCAGGAAATTTACTTCTGGCCACTCTTTTAAAAGACAACTGGGAAAGTAAGTCATAGCCTACAAGTTATCCTATCACCATAATGGAATGCTCTGCTGGTAAGGGGAGGATGAACACACTAGAGAAACACCCCTAAACAAACTTCTATGATCCAAGTATTTTACATTTAGTTGAAGTGTGATAGCTAAGAATCTTACAGTCCCATGACCTTTTCAGGATATTAAGTAACTCAAGATGTAAGAACAAGAGAAAGAATCACACCTGATTCAGATATAAATGCCAATATTCAGAGAATGGGAGGTATGGAAGTAACCAGTGTACAGTTCATTTTCCATAGCATTTTGGAAACTGATTGTTAGCTTTAGGGGATCTTGCTGCTCTAGTTTGGTTTTGGTTAGATCTAAGCTGAGCTGCAAACTGTTGGAATTTTACAGAGAATCATAGAAAATTAGGGTTGGAAGAGACATCAGGAGGTCATCTAGTCCAACCCCCTGCTCAAAGCAGGACCAACCCCAACTAAATCATCCCAGCCAGGGCTTTGTCAAGCCTGACCTTAAAAACCTCTAAGGAAGGAGATTCCACCACCTCCCTAGGTAACCCATTTCACCATCCTCCTAGGGAAATAGTTTTTCCTAATATCCAACCTAGACCTCCCCCACTGCAACTTGAGATGATTACTCCTTGTTCTGTCATCTGCCATCACTGAGAACAGCCTAGCTCCATCCTCTTTGAAATCCCCCTTCAGGTAGCTGAAGGCTGCTATCAAATCCCCTCTCACTCTTCCCCAGCCTAAACAAGCCCAGTTCCCTTAGCCTCTCCTCAGAAATAATGTGCCCCACTCCCCTAATCATTTTGGTTGCCCTCCACTGGACTCTCTCCAATTTGTCCACATCCTTTCTGTAGTGGGGGCCCCAAAACTGGACACAATACTCCATATGTGGCCTCACCAGTGCCAAAAAGAGGGGAATAATCACTTTCCTTGATCTACTGGCAATGCTCCTACTAATGCAGCCTAATATGCCATTAGCCTTCTTGGCAACAAGGGCACACTGTTGACTCATATCCAACTTCTTGTCCACTGTAATCCCCAGGTCCTTTTCTGCAGAACTGCCACTTAGCGAGTCGGGCCCCAGCCTGTACCAGTGCATGGGATTCTTCCATACTAAGTGCAGGACTCTGCACTTGTCCTTATTGAACCTCATCAGATTTCTTTTGGCCCAATCCTTCAATTTGTCTAGGTCCCTCTGGGCCCTATCCCTACCCTCCAGCATATCTACCTCTCCCCACAGTTTAGCATCATCTACAAGCTTGCTGAGGGTGCAATCCATACCCATCACCCAGATCATTAATGAACAAAACTGGCCCCAGGACCGACCCCTGGCGCACTCTGCTTGAGACCAGCTGCCAACTAGACATTGAGCTGTTGATCACTATCTGTTGAGCCTGATGATCTAGCTAGCTTTCTATTCACCGTATAGTCCATTTATCCAATGCAGACTTCTTTAACTTGCTGGCAAGAATAAGGTGGGAGACCATATCAAAAGCTTTGCTGGAGTCAAGGTATCTCATGTCCACCACTTTCCCCATATTGACAGAGCCAGTTATCTCATTGTAGAAGGCAATCAGGTTGGTCAGGCATAACTTGCCCTTGTGAATCCATGGTAACTGTTCCTAAACTGTTCTTTTCCTCCAAGTGCTTCATAATGTATTTGCTTATTGCAGCAGAGTTATACTTGCTTTCCAGTTAGCACCTTACATGTGTAACTGTGTTGGACTATTTGAATGATTACACTCTTAAAGTTCCATGACTAGATACTGTTTGGAGTAAAACAGGTGTCTGATCCCACAGCTCAGGTACTATGGAACTTAACTTGGAGGAGCTTCCCCACTTGTAGGTTGGGAAATTGATCTATTTGAGAACTGCCATCAGATAGCTCTTTGATAAAGATGACAATTGCTGAGGAAGCAAGTGTTTTTGCTTTAGCTAGAACAGCAGTGTCAGTCATTGCAATATTATGTGCCATTACTAGAATCACAGGGGCTAAGGCTAGAGGATCCACCAGATCATCTGATCTTATCTCTGCTCTATCACAGACCACCACTCAGCACCTACACACTTAACCCAAAAACTGAATAGTTTGGTCTGATTTACAGCCCTGAGGAGACTAGACTTATGTGCCACAGGCAGGAAACAGGAGGGACAGAGTTACACCAGCACCCAAGCCCCCCCACAATGCCAGGGAAATGAAGTGAGATATACCCAAATAATCCTGGCAAGCGACCCACTCCTATATGCTGCAGAGGAAGGCAACCTTCTCCTGCCTCCCACACCAGGTCAGTGCCATTCTAACCTCACATACGGCAATCAGCTAGACCGAGAATGTGAGCAAGAACCAGCCAGCCAAGCAGAGAGACTGCTCATCAGTGCTACCTCAGAGCCCTGGCCCTCCCCATCAAGCATCCCATCCCCAGTGTCCCCTGGCCATCCCTGAGGCTTCAGAGGAAGCAAATTAAAAAACAAAACACCCTCTCCAGAATACATTGTGGGGAATTGTGTAGAGGGAGGGAAGAAAAATCCCTTTTGACCTCTGCAGGCAGCCAGCTGAAACCCTGCAGCATGAGTTTAGGAACATAAAACAAACTGGAAGTGAGCCTAGGGCTGTTGATTCTCCACCCCTCTACCATCACTAGCAATGACTGTGACAGGGTTTATGGTCTTGGTGGGATAATAATAAAAAAAGACACCACACACAAAATTAAAAACCAAACCCAAAAAACCCACCACCCCACACCAAACCTAAATCTCTACCACTGCTGGATAATGGTAGTTTGTATTTCAGTGCTATTTTAGACTGGCAGAGAGTCAGCTAAGAGTAGACGATTCCACCATGTGTTCAGAAGTGATTTATTTAGTAGCCACAGACACCAATATTTCAAGTTAGTTACAGAACTGCTTTGAATGCATTTGTTTCCCAACGTGAAGCAAGTGGCTTGCACAAGCAGACAGCAGTGTAGTGCAGCTACAGTCCCTGAACTGATTCTCAGCAGCAAGTTCTGATCCGGTGTGGAGATGGGAATTCCTCAGGCCCTCTCGTAGACTCTAGTGCAGGTGACATTATTCATGGTGCATTCCTAGGGCGGGAGAAAATAAAATGGATTGAAACTTCTGAAACATCACACCAGAATTTTATGAGTCTAAGTAGGGCAAGGATGTTGGTCATTTCTCAGAGTCAAAGGTGTTTATTTAGTGCCCATCACTATGATATTCATGTCATCAGAGAAA